GAAATGAGTTTGAGAAAAAAAAGTTTTATTTAATGATCGTCGGGCTCAATTACAACTTTTGAAATTAAAGACTTATTTGTCAAAGATATTTTCAAAATCTTTTAGGTTGTGTTTGATTGGGATGAAAAATGTCTTCTAAAAAAAAAATATTTTCCTTGTTTTGATGAAAACAAAAATCTATCCCCCAAAATAAAGTGATTTTCTCCAAAAAATAAATAAAAATTAAGCATATTTTTAAAGGTATGAAAATATTTTCCATGGAAAAAATGGCAACCAAACATTCAAAAAAATTAGAATTTTGGTAGAAAAGACCATTTTCCATGGAAAACTTTTCAATTAAATACACCCTTACAAATTGATGATGTTGTTGACCCTGAAAAATGGTCAAACACGTAGTCAACAGAATAATACTCTACGTAAGCTCCTTCCAACGCACAGAAACATATTGTTAGTCACTCGTGGCCTTTTCCGGTAGAGATGGAAGCGGTTGCGAGCACTCCGACAGTCAAGCTAGTGATTTTGTAATCGGAAAGTGGTGTTCGACGGTGAGATGGTCACTGGAACGTGTCTAAGAATGTGTATATGTGTGTGTTCTTCAGAGTTAAGGATTTTAAGGCAAGGAATCAGAGAGCGTCTCCCTCTTACCTTAATAACGGAGTACTTATACTAAGAGAAAGAGATAGGGAAAGGAAAACCGTTGGATGTAGAGACACGTGGTTTTGAATCCCGGGCATATCATCCCTTCTTCGGCGTCAATCTGTCCATCCATAGGTTGACGGGTATTAAATGTTTCCTGACATAGCAGTGTGAGTTAACCGTTTGGAGTCTGTCACACGTTCCATCAATCAGGCTAATGATTTGATTTTGGGGGGATCTTCTCATAAAAGATCTTTGCAGTCATAGGAAAGTGAATTGGGGTGTGGCGAATGTCCATCATGTGTGACAGATGAGTTCGGATCTTCTACAAAGAGTGCAGAAGCGTTTCAGTTGAGACCATTGGATTCGATTCATCCATAGGAGTTCAGTTCGTTCACTACGTGGCCACACGAAAATCAGATCGTGCTGCTATGTGGCGAACTGACACACGTGGCAGAAGAATTGAGTGAACAAGGTGGAGGCCACCTTAATTCAGTTCGTCCACCACTTAGCTGCACGAAATTCAGATCATGCAGCCACGGGCGAACATACTAGATGGATGAGGTGGAGGGCTCAGGAGGCTCGTAATAGCCGAGGTGAGTGTCGTCTTGTCTCACCTCTCCTAGGTGAGTTCGGCTTTGTAGCGCCATCTTGAGAGTGGTCTCTCCTGCTTCGAGTGTTGCTTCTTTTAATGGCGCGGGAGGCCTCTCAGCATTCACTCGTGTCATGACCATAGAAACGATAGAAAGTACAGTAGGGTTACGCCTCCTTTTAGGGCTGAGAGGGTTTCTTTGTCCGTGACTTGTTTGTAGTAGGTTAGTTCATTAGTAAAACGAGCGAGGTAATTTTTCCCTGCTGCTTGCTTCATATCCTAGAGGCGCTGGATGGCGCTTCTTCTTATTTCCTAGATAAATACTAGTTTTAAAATGCTTTCTTAAGGTCTAGCCAGCTCCTGATGCTGAGTGGCATTAACCTACCATACCACAAGTGTCAAGTGAAAGGCCCTGCACTTTAAGGCTGGCGAAGCACCTCAGAGGCTCATTTGTGTTTTGTACTTGTTGAGGTCTTTCTCTAGGTCACCTTTTCCCTCGTACTTATAAATTTGGGAGAGGGGAGACAAAGCTTTGAGGCATTGGGAAGCTACGAACCTCCTTAGAGAAGAAAAGGTTGGCATCATCATCATCAAGGTCATAGGACCGACATGGTCCATCAGAATCATTCACATCCACTGAGTAACGAGGTAGCTGCTATGATGCCCCACCTCGGTTCCCCCAATCTACCAGGCTTTACCTCTCTCGCTTATTTCTACCCGGAAGAGCTTGGCGGCTTGACTTTGTGCATGTTCTTGTGGGCGAACTGACTGATAGGTGGATTGATCCCTATTTTTAGGCATTCATCCGATTCGATCAAACACGCTTGCAGATCTCTGAGGCCGTTCTTCATAATCTGGGGAAAAATTATCTCCTCCCACTTGGGCGTAACCAGCTGGGGGGACATTGTAGTTGGAAGTGTCTACTCCCACTTCCCTTTCAATCGGAGCCTTTCTTTGTCAACTCGAATGGGTCATCCGGCTCAGCTTCGCTTCAGCTTGTTGGTCACAAGTTGATTGTGGAGATTTTGGTGGGGTTGTAAGCCTCCTTGATTCTGCAATGCTTCTCGTGTTAGTAGCCATGCGAGCAACTTCGACAATTAGTCGCGCAACAGTTTTTCCTCACCTGCGACATAGATGATGGGGCCTCTGGTGTGCGACATTATTCCGGATAATCTCTTCTTCAGAGATCTCCCTTACTCTCTTTGGGTTTACTTCTTCATTGCTGGAACTCACTGGTTTGGAGTTTGCAGATTCTCTTTTTTCAAATAATAGAAACTTAACTTATGGCTTCCACATGTTCTTTCTTCAAGAACGAATCCTTTTTTTCAAATGGAGGATATTAACCAACTATTCTGATAAACTTTTTATTCGTGGGGATACTCATGGTTACATTAACTTTCCCACATACAGTGCCATCAGTTTGTCCGCTACGTGGCCGCACGAAATTCAGAATTGGATGGTGAGGTGGAGGGCTCAGGAGGGCCCATAACAAATGTGTCGAAAAGAAAGGATGAGGGTTTTTTTATTATTATTTTGTTGATGAGATTTTGAACCAATCAAATCTTGGCACATCATCTATTAAAACATAAATCTGTAAATTGTGATTTACATGTAGTACAATCGTTTTTCAACTATATATTTTGATTGTGCTACATGTATATCACCACTTATAAATTTGTTTATTAAAAGATGTTGTGACAAAATTCGATTGGTAAAAATTAGTTTCATAAATAATTGGTGTTTTTTTTCCCTCCATTCTAAAAACACATAGTTGTGTAGCATGAACTTTGATCTTGTTGGTACAAATCTAATATGGAAGTGCACTTTAGTTAAATTCAAACAAATCTTGCATACTCATCCTCATCAGTCTTATTATGAAGAATTAAAAAACTAAAAAATTGCATCTTTAAAGGCAAGTTCAACTGCATCTCCATCATAAACTCAAATCCAGGTTTCTTCGCTGCAGTTTTTTCAATATGGTCATTATTATTATCCCATGCTTTGAAGTCTCGAGGAGTGATATATGCTAAAATGGACCATCCGTCCTTGGGTATGACGTAGTCCTCGGGATATCTCGAGGATTGACAATAGAGCTCTTACGATAACATGGTAATGGTGTCATTAGGATAAGTTCTCGAGCCTGTATGACCCCTCAAGAGTATTGTGTCCTCGGGCCTTTTCCTTTACCAAACTCAAAGGTTTTCCTTAGACATGGACTGATTCTACTTTCTAGGAATTCTAAGTCTATCAAAATACCTCAATTTGAGACTCCTATGGCTAGATAGAGTCTGTGTCGGTGAGTATCATAGTCGAACTACAACTAGACCTACAATTACAATCTAATACTCATCTCAAGTAGAACTCCTAAGGATTTCAACAACATAATCCTATTAGGAATGTACTACATATCCCTATAAATACAACACCCCAATTCATTATCAAGGTACGTTTTTTATATATTTTTCAGCACTTAGCCTCACGCATAAATTCTCTTTCTGATTTAAGTATTGGAGGGGCGACGAAGACACACCTTGACGCCTTTATTTCAGGTGCCAAAAGATTTCGTTCGTACTCATTCTCAATCATCAAGCTCGAAATCAACAGTTACGAATTTTAGTAGCATCAGTAATATTCCCGGGTTTATCATATTTATTGATTCGGTTCATATAAAACATTTCGACGCAATATTACGTTCTGTGATATGAATTGAAATTTTTTTGAATTTCTAAAATATGTATGATGAATATTACTGCATTGATCGCTATCTAATGACATTTTAGGATCCTAATTTTAAAGGTGTCTAATCACACAATTTTCATGTAAGAATCGAAAATTATCGAAGATATGAAATATTCAAGATACGAAAAATAACATTCAATCCTCAAACTGTAGGAAATGGATGACATTTACCTTTACTACACTTCAAACCACGGTGGCAAATAACCAAAAAAAAAAAAAACCTGATTACAATTTCTTTCCGATCGAATTTTGGGATCCATGTGTTCTTCTTGCACCACAAATCGATTTGGGGATTTAAGGTCAGGGAAGTGATTTTGGGGAAATGTATGCTGTGTTTTCCTTTTTATAAATGGGTTTGGAAGTTGTTGGTAACTCATGGCGTGGCGGTGAGTTGGCATGGAATTTAATTTATGGAGTGATTTAATTGTCCTTGTTATCCACGTAGGCGACATTTCAAACGGATTTCATCCAATGAGTGATGGAGTGGGATGGAGCGAAGTTCTGTGACTAATGGAACGCTTGGTAAAGTTCAATGAGTAAGTCGTGATACAGTACAATATTCAGTGGTCATTCAAACATTTGTTTGAGTCACGTTATTTTGGAAGAATGTATTTTGGATAGTAAATTGATAGAAAATGTGTGGTTGAAAAAAAAGGAAAAAATATTGACGTGATGAAAAATATTATTTTATTGAAAAACGTGTGATTGAAAATAAGTAGTAGAATGAAAATGAAAATTTTAAGATAACTCAAATAGGCTTAACTCACAATTTTTCTCCAACTTGTTTTACCACATTTATGAACCAACAAATTCAACTGTCCCCATCAGTAGCACATTCACTTTCGTGCAACCTCAAAAGTTAAACACCAGCGAAGCCCTAGTTCTCATCGTCTTCTTCATTCTCCCCAAAACCCTAATCCCATTTCTACTCCAAAATGCCCTTTTAACCCTAAACTGTATCTCTGCACACTCTCATTTTACACTTAAATCCCTATTTTTCTCTCTCAACGAATAATTCTCGCACTCCACAACAATGTCAAACGACGGCGCATCAGCACCACTTGATCGGCACGTAGACCCAACTCCACCCCCTCCATCTCAACCAGCACCCGGAAATGCGTCTGATGGGTCCGTATTACCTCACTCCAATGGAAACGGAACTGATGATAACGTTGGACAGCAAAATGGGGTCGTGGTGCCGTCCTATGCAACAAACAGGCTGAGGCTCAACCCCAACTCGGATCACAAGCCGGATAGCTATGACAACCTGGATTTAGATTTTAGCCCGTTTCTCTTCAGCTCATTGGAGAGGTACCTTCCATCCAACCTCCTCCCCCTGTCGCGTGAGGTGAAGGTCACGTACATGCGTGATGTCCTCCTCCGATACTCCCCTGAAAGTGAACGCATCCGGGTCAGTACAGCTGTCTTAGACTTGCATATGGTCTGTGAATGCATTGGATGTATTACCTGTCAATTGTTGAATTTGGGTGGAAAGGCACGCTGCCTAATGCGAGTGGGTGTGGATTTATATATTACTATAGTACTTTATGTTCTTAGCGTCTATGAGTTAAGAATGTGGTGCATTGAAATATGAAAGTACATTGCTAAATGCACGAGGTACTGCATTGGTCTTGGAGGTTGACACTGCACGTCCCAAATTTAACTATTTGAATTTACAATTACTCTATTTTAACAGTTCCAGAAGCATAGAGAATACAGGCAAAAGATTATATCCAACTATCAGGTACGTTTTATTTATGAAACCGTTGACTGATGACAAGTATAACAATTCTAATTCAAATGAGAATTGTATTCATTTATTTAAGGAATGTCTCGAAGCATTGATATTTTGTAAATGAAGGACATTGCATAATGGTACTTCAAGGATAAAGGAACCTTTTAGCTCTATATATGGCCACCACAACTTTTCTAGTGATTATTCTAAACCTGCTACAGCGAAAAAAACTTATCCGTGTAGAAAGGATTTTGAGTTTGCAAGTTCTATATTTATATAAAATCTATGATGTCATATCTAGTACTCCTAGACAAAGCTTGGCCACTGCATTAGGGTAGAAACACCTTGAAATGGTTGGAGGATGTTCCTGTATACGTGGAAATGCTTAAAATACCAACTTTTTAACAAAATATCAAAGAGGATAAATATGTAAAATCCTTATCTTCATCACATTACTCATTCTGTCGTTAGTTGAGCTTGGTGGACACCCATTGATTGTTTTGCAGAAAGGGTATTGTGTTAGCATGTAAGATGTCATCGTGAGCTTGTTTGGTAGAGATTAAAATCGGATTAACATTGAAAAATTAGCCGTTATTGTTGACTTTTATTAGACCAGTGGGACCCAATAACGGTTATATTTTCAATTTTAATTGGATTAAAATTCCTCCCAAACAAGCTCTGTATCCTTTGACAACTGGATACTAATTTACCAGAACTCTCTCTCCCTCTCTCTCTGTTTTACGGCTGATAATTGCTGATTAATTTTTAACAATTTATTGAAGTTACCTTTGCCTTTTCAGCGCTTACATAGGGAGCTTTACACAATGCATGCTACAACCTTCTTTGTTCCCTCTTTTCTGAAGGCAATCAATGAGAACACTGAACAGGGTTTTAGAAATATAATGTCTGAACCCACTCCAGGAATTTTTACATTTGAAATGCTCCAACCACGTTTCTGCGAAATGTTGTTGGCTGAGGTACTTTTTAACCTTCTCATCGTTATCCAGCATTCCAACTTAATTCTTCCTAGCAGTTTAGCTTTTATGTTTTCTTATCAGGTTCTGATTGCTTAGGTAGAAAATTTTGAGAAGTGGGTCCATGAGACGAAATTCAGAATCATGAGACCTAATACAATGAATAAGTATGGTGCCGTTCTTGACGATTTTGGTATGGAAACCATGCTTGACAAGTTCATGGAAGAATTCATACGCCCTATATCGAAAGGTATCGTTCTGCTCCTAATCAATCAAGTATGATGAGTAGATATCGACCTCAATATAATCTTTTGAATTGAAAATCTGTTGCAGTTTTCTTTCCTGAAGTTGGTGGGTCAACACTTGACGCTCATCATGGTTTTGTGGTTGAGTATGGAATGGATAGAGATTTGGATCTAGGTAGGTGACTACACCCTACCTTTGGTTCCTTGACTCTTCTTTATATATGGTATCTGCTGTCTGTAAGTTTCTGAATACAGCTAAACCTTGTTTAAATTTTGACGTGTCATTTTACATTGGTTAGGAAATTACGTTAATGGTTTTAAAGGACTTAGTTAGCTACTTTGGTCTTAAGTATTTTGCGCTAGTACTTCAGGCTCCAACAAGCTGTCAAGGCATGTGGTCTGGCCAGGGTCATCTTCATGGTATCAGTCACTTCTGTCGGATGAGTCTTGGCTTGCCATCTTACCTGCTTGTGGACCATGATGATACTGTTCAATTGAGTGGGGAGTTTCTAATGCTACATCACCTATCGATTAGGTGAAACTTGTGAGAATTGTTTATCAAGATACTTGGAAACTCGACCTTCAGTTGGGAGTTTGTCCAGTTACTATGATATTTTTGCTAGTCTTATTATTGTTTGGTTCCGCTGATTTCTACTTATGAACTCCGTAAAAGTCCTTGAGTCTCAAGAGCTTCACTTTTGTAGGTTTCCATGTGGATGACTCAGAAGTCACCTTGAATGTCTGCTTAGGGAAGCAATTTTCTGGCGGTGAACTATTCTTCCGTGGTGTGCGGTGCGAGAAACACGTAAATACTGAAACTCAGTCGGAGGTAAGTGATTTCTCCTGCAGTTTTACTCTTTTTTTTTTTTCATGTACTTTGGTGTCTTTAGGGACAATTATTTGTTTTCATTCATGGACTGGTATTACTGGTATTGCATAAATTATAATTGAACTTTAACACTTTAAAAAGTAATCCTCATTGGTGAAAATTGCGGTTACCTCCTGCTATCCTTTTTTTTTCTTTCTTTTTTTTTTTTTAGCTTAGAAACTGCAATCGTGCAAAAAGAGTTACAAAATGAGTTTTTACATTCCGTCTTATTTCCAATCAGGTTGGACGTGTTCCAGGCTGGTTTTGTCTTGTGTTTTAATTGGACTTGGGAAAACCTAAGAAGCACAGATACTTGTTTGGATATGCTCCGATGCGTACCGGATATATATTTTTTTATTTATATATTTTATATTTTTAAAATTTTTGATATACATTTTAAATTATTTATGATACGCATAGGATACGTTGGGACACGTGAAGAACTTTATTGGTGTTAAATTCTTTTAAAACTGAAATGCTCAGTTTTAAATTATTTGACATCTAGAGATTTTATTGGGAATACACAATAGTATTAAATCTTTTAATATATGTAAAATTGTGTTAATAGCTGACAAATAGATTTTTATTATTGAAAATAGATAATAGTTTAATACATGCAAAATCATGTTAATAAATTATACATTAATATAATCAAACTTCACTACATGTTTAATAAATCAATTTTTATTCATATCAATCTGCTTCTTTTATCAAGAAAATTAAATTTTTATTCAAAAGGAAAATCCACAATATGGGAAATCATTTGATACTCTTCAAGATGTTGGGTTGGTTCAGGTTATTAATTTATCATTAGATGAGTCGGAGTTAGAGAGTGTCATTTTTATTGATAATGAAGGAGCTGATGTTGTTGATGATGAAGAAAATGAAATTGGGACAATTAAGGATTAAGATAAAATGTTTCAATATTTTATTTATTTTTATCATCATGCTTCTTTTTAATTTATTTTTATATTAGGCTGAATTATAGATATCTATACATGTATCCGCGTTTTCTAATTTAAAAAAAAGAAAGAAAGTTATATTGGCGTTCCCATATTGTATCGGATTCAGATTGGGGAAAACTGGTTGTTTGAACTACAATTTCAATCCCTTTTTCAGTAAAGTGTCTTATAAATTACTCCTTGTGATACTTAGTGCTATGTGTTTCTGACCAGTTAACAGATTGGCACCCATTTATTACAAGTTACAAGTTACGATCCACCAGGATATGGACTGGGAACTTTCTAAGTTCAGATTGGCATAGGAGTAGGAAAAGACCTTCTAGAATTTTTAAAAAATTTTAAACGGATCAGTCAAACCAGTCTACGAATATATTATAATGCTGCATTGATATGTAAAGAAAATTTAAATTACACAGCCTCAAGTTTGAAGTAGAAAGTATCATGCCACAAAGCCTATCAGATTCATATTGGTGTTTGACAACTCAATTGGAATTTGTAATTTTATTTCATAGGAGATCTTCGACTATCCTCACCTCCCAGGACGAGCAGTTCTTCATCGCGGTCGCCATCGGCATGGTGCTAGAGCCACCACATCTGGAAATAGGATAAACTTATTGCTTTGGTGCAAGAGGTAAGTGACTGCCTACACTTTGCTCTATTTTTCTGTCACTGTTTCAGTATCTAAGAACCTTGGGCATTTTTTCTGATAAAAGAAGAAAATTGACAAAAGGAATTCTAATAATTTCAGTGTGGTTTCATAAAACAAATTGTATAGATGTGTTGTAAAGCAAAAGGAAATAATAAAGATTGTGACTCCCACTATTGTATTAGTGGCATCAGAACTAAATGATGTTATGTTGTCTTTCACAAACAAAGCAACGGTAATTATGAGTGATGTATCACGAAATTCTCTGATGAAGTGGAGTCGTTGATGTAGACAATCTGCTTTGGTTTCAATCATAATTTATTGTATTTATGCCAGCATCATTTTAGCAATTTTTAATTCAATTTTGTTTTCACATTATAAACCTTTACACCGAAAATTCGGCCGTGGAGGGCCTCCTTTCTTTTTAATGAGTTAAGGATATGCATTATATCTGGAAATGCCTTCTGTGTAAAGGATTACAGATCATCTTATTTTTGATTCCCATGCAAGAAAAGCAGAATTTGCTCTACATCTTCAAATGCCTTTTTGGATCCTCGCTTTGTATGCAGCTAAAGTTGGAAGTCTTCTTTCTTTATCTGTATTTGTTTTATGATTGTGTTGGTCTCCTTTCTCTCTTAGTTCCCATTTCATGCATCATGCATGTCTGATTAATATAAGTTCGAAAGAGAAATAAATAATATTATGCATAAATCTCCTATTCCATTCGGTTTACTTAATTTTGTCGTTAGAAGCTTTGGGAATGCCATAACCTATATGCAGAGAATAGATTTTTTAATGTCCACCCCCCTCCCCCCCCCCCAAAACAACCCCTTCCTTCTCGTAGCCACCTCTCTGTACAAGGTCACTCTAGATTACTGGATTTCCATTTACTGTTTAGCAATATCCGTCCAGGCTTTCCTCTAGTATGTTTAATTCCATTTTTTTATACTTCAAGTTGATACACATCCAAGTAATTACTTCCTGGACGGACTAACTTCTGCATCGCACCCAGCTGTGACTAATTTATTTTTTTGCAGATCTCCCGTGATTATAGGAATTAACTTTTTCCATCCAATTCTTACATTCTTCATATTAAATTGTTTTGCTATTCCAGATGTAATCTTCACAAAGTCTAATATCAATGTCTTCTTCCTGTAGTTCTGTATTCAGAGAGCTGAGGAAATATCAAAAAGAATTCACCAGCTGGTGTGCAGAGTGCCAACGCGAGAAGAAAGAAAGGCAGCACCAATTTGTTTCTGCTGCCAAACTGGTAAACCTGCAATTTAGCGACCAATCTGTCGCTGCTTCCAAACTGGTAAACCTAAAATTTGGCAATCTCAAAAGGAAGCATCGTTAGCACTCCCATGCACCAAATCTAAACAAACACCAATCATTAGCTTTACTGGATTGAATTATGCTACTTCTCTCTCTTCCGTAGAAATTATTTTCTTTGGATGTGTTAAAAGTTACCTGGTAAAAGTTTGTTTGCTATTGCGATTATGGTTTTTAATACATTCCGGCTGAAGATGGATCCATAGTGACATTTAAAATCTAGATTTGTGAGTATGGAGTGCAGCGAAGAAGAAAATGAATAATCGATAAGAAAAAGGTTGATCCCACGAATGCCGGTTCAAATAGATAATATGAATTAACAATCCAAATGGAATAATGTTAACTATATTGCAGCAAAGTTTGAGTTCTGATACATTCGAATGTGGAACTTAAATCAAGAAATTTGAAAAAGGAAATAAGCAAGATTAATGAAGTGGAAAGGAAATAAATCAATCATCTTTGATCCGGCACTAACAGTCAGCTTCTTTAATTTAGCTGCAATGATTTAAGTCCATTTATCCAGCCCTTTAATCGATTCCACCCTGTCAGCAATGATTCACCAAAAGCAGCAGTCAATTCATCAACGAATCCCTTAATTGGATTTTGTCGGTTTTATGTGTAGTATACTACCTAGCAAATAATTCACGTTCTACTTTGCTGAACGCATCATTCTCTCCCAGGTGGAAAATATTCGCCCTTGAATACGGGTTAACGTCTTCCAATGAGCTATCCACACCTCCCCTCAATAACGTACCGAATGTTTCCTATTTAAAACTCCTGCCGTTTTGATATGACTCGGTAGTTTGAGATGGTATGCTTCTAGGTTGATCATTTCCACTATTTCCTCCTGCCCAATTTTGTTTGTTGCTAACTTACCATATTCATTAGCGAAAAAGTGATCTTTTGTCTACATGACTTAAATGAAACTCTCGGTTCAAACTCAACACACCCTCCACTATCATCCGACGTTGATTCGTTGCCAAACGATATGGTAATAATTCCGTACTTCTTCAATTTTCCTTCAAGACACCACCATGTCAATAAGAAACCATTCTCCTTAGATGGAGTGCGAGGCACCTCCATCATATTTGGTAATAAAATCACTTTACTACCAAAAATGAAAGCCTAAGTATTCAAACCTTAATCACATACATTAACCCAATAGATTATTTGACGAGCAACTGCTTATCTACCACAACGTTTGTACCTTTTTTAACCAAGCTAAATTGTAAGGTCTAGGTTGTCTTTCGGTACAAAGATCTAACTTTGCACCACTTTTTCTGAGACATTCTTACTGCTCCACGAGTCCAAGATAAAACAACACACCTTCCCGTCCACATCATTGATTGGAAAATGGTGTTGCATTGGAAGTTGACGTTGGTACTTTTAGGGGGTGACAATGAGCTGTCCACCGTCACCCGACCCTCTCCCCATTCTTCAGGTAGGACATCATCTCCCCCAACATAAAAATATTAGTGCCCCTTTATATTCTTCCCACTCCTCTTCATCAGCAAATGATCCCGATTTTGAACTAGCCTTTGTACATCATGTTTGTCTATTCACCAATTCACTACAAGCAAATAGTGAGGCCCACCTCATGCGTCGTGTCCTACCGAGTTGTGGTTGTGCCACCTAGGACCAATTAATTGTGTTGTGTAGTAGCTGTTACTGCAGAAGGAAGCTCATAGTTGTTCCCATCATCTCCTATGGGAGTTAGTAGTCCTATTGCTTGCCAAATGGTTTTCTTCCTAGTTGTGTGGTCTTTTCATGTGCTTATGAAATGGCAAAAGATGCGAACTTGTTTAAAACTTCTTGTATTCAAGCCTCTTCATCCCAATGGGCATTGACTCTATTCTTCACTTTAATGTCATTGCGGCCATTAGTTGGAAAAATTCTACCAATATCTGCCGACAACTTGGCTTCGTGCCTTGAGTTTCGAAACAGCTGGCACAACGTGCTATTGAAATTGAATGAAAAGAAGGCATTTTTGAGATGTTTCTTCAGTTTCATTTGCAATTCTATCTTGGGTTTGTCGCTTCATGCACGATTGGATTAGACTTGTTGCCACCAAGCTGGCATCCATCCCCAAAAGCAAGTCTCTTCCAAAGACATTCGTTTGTCATTGAACTCTTTAAAACCAAGAATCTCCTCCTCGACTTGGAGCAAGGTAAGGAAGTTATTTCTCGTGGAACTCCGGTAGGTCTGATTTTAGCTTCGAATCCAATCGTATTTCATCGTTGCGAGTGATGCTACCTCACTTTCCATTATTGCCTTTGGCAAATAGGTTTTCGTACACCTTCATTGCGCTATGTGTTTAGGTCGGAAGGCACTCCTCCCGAACCTTCGGTGTTGCGCCCTCATTATCTTGTAGTTGTGCCATCCTCAACACCTCTAGCTTGCCAATAACCGTGCATGAACCCACCTGGTCGAACTGTTCCCTGCTCTCGACATACCCACCCAACACAACCAAAGCTACATCTTGGGTTGCACGGAACGGGAAAGGAAATACGACAAGACACGTGGAATTGTTATTATTATTTCTTAAAAAGAGTAGGAAACTGAAATCATTAACTTTAAAAAACTATTTGATATTGTTTAATAATTAGAGTATTACAATCAATCTAATGTAATAAAACAGATATACAATGTCATCTCAAAAAAATATTCATAAGGAATAAATAATCAAATTAAAAAATGTCATAAGTTCTCGAATTAATTTCGTTTACTTAATTGCTATCAACATCCATAACACCATTGTCAGTGAATAAAATGGCCTCCTTTTTTTGATTGGAGCTCGTAATTTAGTTTTTTAGTCGAATTTTTTTGAACATTTTGATCCTAAGTTTCCAAAATAATAGGAAATATTTTTTTTGTTTCCAAAGAGTTTCAATTTTCGGAACGTGTTTGAAATATATCCATCTATTGTCACATTTGAGTGATCTCTTCCCCGAGGTTGAACCTCAACATAGGTATCATGTAATTCTAGTCTTCTTGTTGGTGCCATCCCTTAAGAGTGAACCACGCTCCGATACCAATATAGTGTAGCACAATGAATAAGATGTTGAACTATCAATAATGTAAGTGTTGATTTCCACAAATCAATATTAAGAATTGGAATAGCAATCCGAAACAGTGATGTTTAATTAATTGCAGAAAAAACGGAGTTCTTATATGTTCGGATGTGGAATAGAGCAAGAAATTAATAAATGAAATAAGCAAGATTAGTGAAGTGGAAAGGAAATAAAGTAATCATCTTTGATCCCGGTCAAATGGTCAGCTTCTTTAATTTAGCCGTAATGGTTCGAGTCCATTCATCCAGTCCTTTAATGGATTCAATCCAGCAGGAATTATTCACCGATTGATTTAGTTCACCACCAACAGCATTCAATTCAGCAAAGGATCCCTTAATTGGCTCTTGTTGATTTTGGGTGTTCCCACCTAGCTAAGAATTCTCTTTCCGCTTTACTGATCGCATAATGTAGGGTTGGATTTTGAGGTTAGAAGGAATTTAGTAAGTGGCAGTTGAATTAGAACAGTGAACCTTTGAAAGATTTTGAGCGAGGTTAATGTGGTGAATGCTGTACAGTGTGGGAATAGGCTAGTGTTTTTCACCCAAAGAAAATGGAAAAATCCTCATATTAGACCATAGTTTCCGAATATTGACAGGTTTTGTTGCTCGAAAATTGCTGATCCCTTTTTTAAACCCCCAACCCCCCCCCCCCCCCCTGCATATTGT